TATTGCCTCTAAAATGGCCCTGAGCACTTATGCCCTTGACCTATACGAGCTTGTCAGCATGGGGTGAAGGGTGAGGGGGTGTACCTGGTATGTTAACTTGCGAACTTGTTATATCTCATAGTCAGACTTAACTATTGCCGCCTGGCCAAACAGATATTCTCCAATTTAGCCATGGTACCATAGGTAGTGGCAGATATTACTTCTTAAATGGCTTGTTGCACTCATGTCCTAGACCTGTTCGAGTTTGTCAGCATAGAGTAAAAAGGGGGGAACCTGGAATATCACATAGTCCAATTTAACTATCAAACTAAGAGATTGTTCACGTCAACCATGATACCAGAGGTGGAGGTATACATTGCCTCTAAATGGGCTCGTAGCATTGATGCTCTAGACCCGTACGCGTACGAGTTTTCAGCATAGGGTTTGGGGTACCTGGTATGTCTCATTGTCGAACTTTACTATTATCTGTTGGCCAAACTAAGAGATCACAATGTTTGCCATGATACCAGAGGTAGAAGAAGACATTGCCTCTAAAGTCGCTCAGAGCACTAGTACTTATGCGCTAGACCCGTGCGAGCTTGTCAGCATTTTGGGGTTGGGGTGGTGGGTGGGAAGGGGGGTCGTTGTATCCTGGTTTACTACATAGATATAGGAAGATGTGGTATGAGTGCCAATGAGACAACTCTCCATCAAAGTAACAATTTATAAAAGTAAACCATTATAGGACAAGGTACGGCCTTCAACACAGAGCATTGGCTCACACCGAACAGCAAGCTATAAAGGGCCCCAAAAATTACTAGTGTAAAACCATTCAAACGGGAAAACCAACGGTCTAATCTATATAAAAACGAGAAACGAGAAACACGTATGAACTACATAAACAGACGACAACTACCGTACATCAGATTCCTAGTTCACTTAAAAATTGCCGGCTTGCCAAACTAAGATATTCTCCACGTTAGCCATGGTACCACAGGTATAGATACGCATTGCATCTTAAATGGCTCTGAGCACTTATGTCCTAGACAATTATAAGTTTGTCAGCATATTTCAGTGAGCCGGCTGCCCAAACTTAAAGGTTATCAACTTTGGGCCATGATACCAGAAGTAGAGACAGACATTACCTCTAAAATAGCACTTAACAATTATGCCCTAGATCTGTAGGCAGATTGTCAGCATAGGGTTAAATGGGGCATACCTGGTATGTCACATAGTCTAACTTCACTACTGTCGGCTGGCCAAACCTATATACTATTCGCGTTGGCCATGAAACAAGAGGTAGAAGAAGAAATTGCCTCTAAAATGGCCATTATGTCTTATGCCCTTGACCCGTAAGACCTTTTCAGCATTGGGTGAAGGGTGGGTCGGGGGTACCTGGTATGTCATACTCTCACTTAACTATTGCCGGCAAGCCCAAATTATTGTGTCAGCATCGGGCGAGGGAGTCGGGGTACCGGGTATGTCACATAGTCCGACTTAACTATTGCCGGCTGGCCACACTAAGAGATTCACCACGTTGGCCATGATACAAGAGGAAGAAGAAGACATTGCCTATAACATGGCTCTGAGCGCTTATGTCCTTGACCCATACGAGCTTGTCAATATTGGCCGAAGGTAGGGTTGTACCTGGAATGTCACATAGTCTGACTTTACTATTTCCGCCTGGCCAAACTAAGATATTCTCCATATTGGCCATGATACCAGAGGTAGTGGTAGATATTGCCTCTGAAATGAATCATAGTACTAATGTCGTAGACTCGTACGAGTTCGTCAGCATGGGATAAAAAGGGGGCACCTAATATGTAACATAGTCCAATTTAACTATTACCGGCAGGTCAAACTAAAAGATTTTTCACGTTGACCATGATACCAGTAGTAGAGGTATGAACGGCCTCAAAAATGGTCTATAGCCCTTATGGCCTAGAGCCGTACGAGTTTTCAGCATAGCGTTAGGGGGACCTGGTATGTCTTATTGTCCAACTTAACTATTGCCGGCTGATCAAACTAAGACATTCTTCACGTTGGCTATGGTACCAGAGGTAGAGCTAGATATTGCCTCTGACATGCATCATAGTACATATGTCGTAGACTCGTACGAGTTCGTCATCATTGGATAAAAAGGGGCACCTAATATGTAACATAGTCCAATTTAACTATTACCGGCTGTTTAAACTAAAAGATTATTCACGTTGACCATGATATCATGTAGATGTATGCATTGCCTCTAAAATGGCCTATAGCACTGATGGCCTAGAGCCGTACGAGTTTTCAGTATTGGGTTAGGGGGACCTCTCATTGTCCAACTTTAAAATGGCCCATAGCACGTATGCTTTAGACCCGTACGTATTTGTTAGCATGTGTGTTGGCGGGGGGGTGGGGGCGGGGGTGTATCCTGCTATGTCACATAGTCCAACTTCACTACTGTCGGCTGGCCAAACCTAGATATTATTCACGTTGGCCATGATACAAGAATTAGTAGAAGACATTGCCTCTAAAATGGCCCTTATGACTTATGCCATTGACCCTTAAGACCTTGTCAGCATTGAACGAAGGATGGGGTGGGGGTACCTGGTATGTCATACTCTCACTTAACTATTGCTGGCAAGTCAAACACTAATTGTGTCAGCATAGGGCGAGGGAGTCGGGGGTACCGGGTATGTCACGTCGTTCGACTTAACTATTGCTGGCTGGCCACACTAAGAGATTCACCACGTTGGCCATGAAACAAGGAGAAGATGAAGACATTGCCTCTTACATGGCTCTGAGCACTTATGCCCTTGACCCATACGAGCTTGTCACTATTAAACGAAGGGTGTGTTGCTTGAGACCCGTACGAATTTGGGTAAGAGTTCCATATGGCTGGCCAAACCTAGATATTATTCACGTTGGTACCAGTTGTTGCCTCTAAAGTGGCTCATAGAACGTATGCCCTAAATACGTACCAGTTTGTCAGCATAGGGTAGGGGTACCTGGTCTTATCTTTTAGTCTGAGCTGTTAAATATGGTCGAAAACGATTGTTTATAATAGGAGTACTGTATAATTATAAAAGTGATTTAAAACCAGTAAAAAATGTCGCGTCGGCATGTAAGAGAATTTAATAACAACCATTTTGTAATTCTATATGGAACGTGTCTTTACCGAGAAGCATCTGTAGATTGTATTTATGGTTCAGCTTAATGTTTTTATATAAAAGGCTTTTCATTGATGTTTCAATTAGCATTTTATATAATTTACCGAAAAAATATTTGTAATTATCGGTTCTCCGTAAGCGTTCCCCTTTTATAACTGATTAAGTAAACGCAGACCTCGAAGACACCCATAGTGTTCAGATTTTATTATTATTTATAGCAATATCAAATATAAACAGCAAAACATGATTTTATCCTAATAAACGATACTTCCTTACATCGCTTAATCGAACCCAGGTCATCTCATGAATATTATCGCAGGCTCATGAATATTATTGCAGATTGGATAGAAAGTTGTCGACTGTTATCGCCGGCTAGCTTCGCAAAAGTCATTTTTTGGGCCGGCAAAGCCGCGCGAAAATTTACTTTCGATTTCGTACACAATAATTCTTTATTTTGGATAGAATATTCATTTCATCCTGTTTTCGACAAGATAGGTTATGTTTAGTTCTCACTTTGTCTATGACAGCTTATTCATTTCATTGCTTTTATTCAATTCTAACTAGCTACAATTCATCAACCGAATTAAAATATATAATAGTCCCTTCCTTCTGGCATCATTTGTGGATAATTGCTGATTGTGTTTCCGAAGCTGTAAAATAGTTATTCGAACTTCATGAATATTCACAATGAGTCTCATGAAATAGGCATAAAATGAAACTGAAATTAGCTCAATTATATATAATTTCTGTAACTGTTTGTTACATGATCATTAATATTTAATGAATAAATGCTTGACACCTTATGATACAAGTATTTGTAGTTTTACGCATCAAAGAAGACTTAATATTTTAATTATTCTAAAGTAGTAAGTTTTAAAGGGAGGTAAATCATATTTTTTAAAGATTTTTAACAAAAATTGTTTTCCACATTTCCATGCTTTTGAGGGTTACAATTTAAATTGTTTAAAAAAAATACTGCTTAACATTGTGTTTTAAAAAAGTATTTCCTTATTTCTCCACTCTTGCAGTGTACTATATATTTTTTTTTATCTATGTCTCACCCTTTCAACGCATGCAGCGCGGTGTGCTGATAAAATATACAAATGTCTTTTAATTCTTGATCAAGAAATGAAAATATAAAAGTCAGTTGCGGATTCAGATTATGCGTGGAGGGCGTACGCCACCCTCCTCTTCCAACGGAAAAATATCTTCTTATTTTTTGCATAAAATCGTCCAACAATTTTTTGTATTCCTCCATTCGGCGGTATATATATATATCGTTTTTGGTAATTACCCCTCCCCCCTCCCTTTTCCCCCTTCAAAATTCTTGGATCCACCCCTAAAACGCATTCATAGTGTCTTCGATTGTTAAACTAAAAAGCGTTATATATAGTATAGAAAATAATTGAGTCTTATGCAACTTTTGGATTTATAGACATATCTGAAAACTGGCTGCTAGCGGAGTGGCTGCTAGCGAGTGGCTGCTAGCTTGAGCCTAGCTGATTATGATGTAAAATTAATCATATCAATCTATTCTGATTTAACTATAACGTTATGGTTAAATCAGAAATAGATTCACTTATATATATATAATGAATATTTTGTGCGAGTATGTGAAAAGGGGGTCCTTCTTGTTCTTTTGATTTCGTTATTCCGTAGGACCTTTGGGGATTCATATTTTGCACGCTGCAGATTGTTTACATTGTTGTATCAAACAAGAATTCAATGTCACGTTGTCTTGTCAACCGCAATGTCAATGTACTTTTTTAATCACTTAAAGTCCGTTTAATAGACGAAAACAAATATTCTGTGTAAACGCTTAAAGGAACAAGACTAAAATGAGCACACGTATAACGGAAAAGGTCTCACCTTTCATTAAAGGACATATTTTCCATACACTTATTGGTCCATTACTAGAAAACTGACCAACAGAGTATTCCAGAAGAAACATTGGTAGCGCACCCAGTATCATAAATGTTATGTATGGAATCAGAAACGATCCTGGAAAAGAAATTATTTCACAAATCATAGTTTTCATATCACTGACTTTATTTCCATTCTATTTTCTTTTATTTGTTATTTTTTTTTTTTTGTATAGGAACCTATCTCTAGAAGAGGACAAAGTTACTTCCCTATTAACCAGAGGTATTGTCTCTATAGTTTTTCCCTTTTAGTCTTCGTTCAATTACTCGGCATGATAACAGTTTTATCTTGTCCATAACTACAGTGAACATTCTACACAATTTGTTATTGCTTACAAGGAAATTACACTTCATTTGCAGTTAGAAAGGCAATTTTCCAACTTTTTTTCGTGTTAACAATTTTTTGTACTAGGTCACCGCATGTTAAAAAATACTAAACTTTTAACATTAAAAACAACACGTGTTTGCATGACAGTTTGCATGACTCTAGATGTGACCTTATAACAACTCTTACTGATGAACGCTCCCTTTAAAATCAAGACACGAATACCATAAGAAAACTGACCTCCTCCATTTTTATAACATAGGTATGGAAATCGCCAGATGTTACCAATACCAACAGCATATCCAACAGAAGATAGGAAAAAGTCCAAACGTCCAGTCCATGTTTCTCTTCTTTCTTCTTGTGTAACTTCATATTTGCCCTTCGATTTTGAATTTTCTTTAAACTCCTTAAATGATAAAAGATATATCGTTCGATAATCAAGGTAATGGATGGCTAGAAAAGAAGACAACGCATGGACAGCAAATATGTAATGTTTAAAGAACCCTTTGTAGGGGCATTTGCAAAATCCTCAAAAATATAAATGTTGCATGACTAGGACACTATTGTCAACCGGACTCTGGAACACTGGAAGAGCCATTATTTTTGTTAAACATTACAACACATAATAAGCTGAATAAAATGATTATCATTTTCAGTTATAAAGAAATCCCCACTTTTTACAATATGCTTTTAACACTGGACACTTTTAATTTGCAAAACACTCATTTGCAAATCCGCCGCCGCCTCTCCTTAGACCTACAGTGTCGTGTATATAACCAAAATGTGCAGAATTACATAGGATTCAATAATTTAATTGCTTTTCTGCTGTTATTATTATAGATATTTTGTAATTTGATTTAGAAAAACATGGGATTTTCAATATCCCATGGGATACGGCAAATCCCATGGGATTGACCATTATCCCATGGGATTTTGGTTAAATCCCATAGGATTTTTTTGGGTCCCATGGGATAATTGTAGTCCCATGGGATATTTGTTGTCCCATGGGACAAACAAAGTCCCATGGGATTTTTAATATCCCATGGGACAAAATAAAGTCCTATGGAATTCAAATTATACATATACAGTTACGTGTATGTTACAATGAATTCTGTTTGGTAGTAAAAAGTTTAAAATATATATATGAGTGTATTTTGTTTTTTTTTATTTTGTCACAAACATGTTTTTAATTTGTTTATATGACAATAAAGATTATTATTATTTTGGAAAGTATAATAATACTTAAAGTCAAAAAATAAAATCATTTAACTGAAATAGAATGATGACATGTCTTAATAAAAGAAAAAAATATTGATTAGAAATCTTGGTCTTGTTTGTTTTATTATGAAAAATAGAACTGAAAAAAATATTTCATATTCTGACTGAATAAATTGACAAAGCACAGTTAATAGTTTACTCTTTTCATGAGGTAAAGTTTTCTTTGTTATAGTTCCATTGCAATACATGAATATGCAAACGATTTGAATCTTATACCTTTGTGGTGTTCATAATATTACATTTATATTTGCAAATTTATAAAATAAACACTTTTCCTGTTAAGTTTTAGTTTTCTTGTTTCAGCTTGCTATGAACAATTATTCAGTCCACTATATAAGAGTCAAGTAAATAAATTATTTCATCCACTAGAATATTCCTACAATTCTTAGACAAAACATTTTTGCAATCTGTTCTTCAAAAATCTTCCTCCGTACATCTTTATTGGATGGAGCGATTTAAATGAGTGGACAAAGCAAGTTCATTTGGACAATAAAATACTAATATATTTTTTCATTCCTCCCTTCTTTCAATTGTTAATTACATTGTTGCATTTACATGATTAAGTTCTTGTGCATCTATGATCATGATGATATGACTCCTTTTTGTTTATAGTCATTATGTTGAAATTTCCTCTTTCTTATGTAGGAAAAAAACACATTCCATTTCAAATTAATAAAAAAGTCACACTATGTAGAAAAATATCAACTTTAAGTTTGCTGCTCAGTATTGACCTGTTGAATGATGATCATGAAAACCAAGATGTCTGACCTACAAATACACAAAACTCAAAAATTATAAATGAAGAGAAATACAGCAATAAAATGGCTATTTTATCATGTTTATGTACATTTTGATAAAAATTTCATTTTAATATTTAAAATTGTAAGAACTCTTATTTCAGTGCTTTGTGTCTATGGTTTTCGTATTAGTTGTTTTTTTTGTGCCTTGTTGCAGTCTTTTGAGTTCAGCCAATTGCAACAAATGTTTACAGTTTGTTCAAATGTTGTGCTGTTATTAAAACCACTGTCCCAGGTTAGGGGTGGGTTGGGTGCTCACCAAATGTTTATTTTATTAGTTGATATTTGCTTTGAATTAGCTGTCAGTAACTGTGAGTACTAATAGATCTGTATGTTGAGTCTTTTTTGTTAAAGGGAAAGAATAAATTTCCAGCCACATCCGGTCTGTGTTTTTGGTAGCTGTTTTTCTGCTTTGTTGCATTCTAATGAGTTAATAAAATTGAGAATGAAAACGGGAATGTATCAAAATAACCTGACTCAAGAGCAGAAAAAAAACCTTTTCATCTGATTTTATAGTTTTTATATTGAACTGACACTTACACCACTGTCCTTAATAAGAGGAGGATTTGGTGCCAGCAAACATGTTAAACCATGCCACATTTTGTAAGTGTCTGTCCCAAGTCAGGGGCATATTATTCAGTGGTTGTCAATTGTTGCTATATATCATATTTGTTTTTTGTTTATTGTTTTGTGCAAAAATCAGGCACTTAACTTTCACCTTTGTGGTGTTTCCCCCAAAGCATGTTTAGCATGGATAGACACCATGCCCTTTTTAAATGATGCCATGCCCTTTTTTAATTGTTTTACATTTGCTATTTCATGGTCTTTTATATATTACTATGCAGTATAGGGTTTGCTCATTGTTGAAGGCTGTACAGTGAACTAATTTTATTAAATTTAATGTCATTTGATCTCTATTGGAGAAAAGTCTCATTGGCAATCATACCGCTTCTTATTTTTATATCAACCCTGCCATATTTTGCCTGTCCAAAATCAGGAGCCTGTACATAGTTCAGTGGTTGATGTTGGTTCACATCCGTCATATTTGTTTTTTCATAACTTGTTTTTTTTTATAAATTAGTCTGGTATATTTGAAGTTTGAATTGATGTTTTTTTTCCAAATTTTGTTTGTGGTGTCTTTTATAGATGACTATATCATGTATAGGGTATGGGTTTTCTCATTATTTACAGGTCATCATTGGCCTCTCATAAGTAATTTCATTGCTTATATCCACTTAATTGAACTCTGGTGGATAGTTTTCTCATTTATCCTACCACATCTTATTTTCATAATAATCATTATTCAAGGGCAATAACTTTTATAGAAGTGGACTTACCATTTAGGTTTTGTTGACGTCTGTAAATCTATTTTTGTTGATAATTTCTTTTGTTAGTAAGTTTCCCTTTATCTTTAATGTTCTTGCCCTACACATAAAGGGTAAACATAATCATTTAATGACAATAACTACTATGACATAATGAGTAGGCAACTGACAACTTTGGATCATTTGTATATCTTGTCTTGCTCATCATTTTTGCTGTTTAATATTATCAATATTCTATGAAAATGAGGTCACAGTAATATTAAACTTGGCAGACAGACATCTTCTTATTTTTATATGACACCTTGCAGTCATTCCATACACCAACAAGTAGACATATGCTTATAATATCTGATAAAATGAAAAAACCAAGAAAACTAAGCATTGACCAAAGAACCATAAAATGCGATCATGGTTATATGAATCTGACAGACAGACATGCACACCTTACAATCATTACATCCAGTGGCGGATCCAGAAATTTTCTTAAGTGGGGGCCCACTGACTGACTAAGAGGGGGCCCGCTCCAGTCATGCTTCAGTGATTCCCTATATAATCAACCAAATTTTTCCCACAAAAAGGGGAGGGGGCCCTGCCCCCCCCCCCTAAATCCGCCTCTGACATCCGCCAAATATAATTTACCTGTTGCTTAAAGCATATGATAAACTGACAAAACAATGCAAACTTTTCATTGACCAATGAACCATGAAAATGAGGTTAAGGTCATATAAAACATGTGCATCTCACAATCATTCCATTCACCAAATATAGGGGCCTTATTCGTGTTATTGCTTACAGTATCCGAAAAAACCACAAAAACTAAACATTGTCCAATGTACTATGAAAATATTGTCAAGGTATTAAGATGAAACTTCTCAGTCAGACATATGCACCTTACAATCATTCCATACACCAAATATAGTTGACCTATTGCTAATTTGAAAATAAGAAAATAGAAAAACTAACCAAAAAAAAAAATAATAACATTGAGCAATGAACCATAAAAATGAGGTCAAGGTCGAATAAAACATGCCAGACTAACATGTACATCCTTAAAAATTTTCATACACCAAATATACTTGACATGTTGCATACAGTATTAGTTCAAATGCTCCGCTGGGGCACAGCTTGATACGACCGCAGAAGTCGAACCCTGAACAGTTGGGGCAAGTATGGACACAACATTCAAGCTTGATACAGCACTGAATTTAGATTGTAATTAAATATTTGACACAGCAAAGGTTTCTGACACAGAATGAATGTGGTCTAAGAACTTAAAATTTTTTAATTTACTTATTCAAACCATATCATTATTATTTGCTTTTATATTTAAATCAGAAATAACCAATTTAAAATAGAAAATTTTAAAGAAAAAAAAGGAAAAAAAAATCCCCCCCCCCAAATTTTTTGAACCCCCTTATGATTCATCACCCCCAAACTCAATCCCAGCCTTCCCTTTGTGGTATGGTACCTTGCAGTACAATTTCAGAGAGATCCATACACTTGAAGTTATTGTCTGGAACCTAGAAAAATGCTTGTTTTTTGGCCCCAAATTCCTAAACGTTTAGGGCAATTACCCCAAAACTCAAACCCAGCTTTCCCTTTGTGATATGGAACCTTGTAGTACAATTTCATAAAGATCAATACACTTACACACAAGTTATTGTCCTGAAACTAGAAAACCGCTTGTTTTTTGCCCCTTCATGGCCCCTAATTCCTAAAATTTTGAGGCAATTACCCCCAAAATCAATCCCAGCCTTCCCTTTGTGGTATGGTACCTTGCAGTACAATTTCAGAGAGATCCATACACTCGAACACAAGTTATTGTCTGGAAACTAGAAAAATGCTTGTTTTTTGGCCCCTTTTTGGCCCCAAATTCCTAAACGTTTAGGGCAATTACCCCAAAACTCAACCCCAGCTTTTCCTTTGTGATATGGAACCTTGTAGTACAATTTCATAAAGATTAATACACTTACACACAAGTTATTGTCCTGAAACTAGAAAAATGCTTGTTTTTTTGCCCCTTTATGGCCCCTAATTCCTAAAATTTTGAGGCAATTACCCCCAAATCTATCCCAGCCTTCCCTTTGTGGTATGGTACCTTGCAGTACAATTTCAGAGAGATCCATACACTTGAACACAAGTTATTGTCTGGAAACTAGAAAAATGCTTATTTTTGGCCACTTATTCCTAAACGTTTT